GGGTTGCTTGGCCCGAAAACAAACAACGGTTTAATGTTTATGCTGAAAGGCTATATTGCACAGTAATTTTCAAATTGTTTCCTTCCAGTTTGGTGTGACACAGTCCAACCTGCTCTGGCGACCTGTCTGTGGAGTCCACGACGACCGGCCAAAAACATCCCCGCCGCTTTCTCCTATGGGTAATGTCCTTATGTATGAACGTGTCAATTGCGGCCACTTTTTCATGGCTACCACATTTTGTCGGTCCCTTGAGTGGTCGCCTTAGACAGGTTTGGCTTCAGCTGCATTTCAGCCTCGAAACTTCCGATAACATCCACTGAAAGCCCCGTTTGTCGTCACGCCTTTCCGATTAGTCAGACTTCACAACCTGTCTGCCCGTCTGCTATCATGGGGTTTCTAACATCAGGAGGCTGCCAATGGTGGCTAGCACAGTTGACGTGAGAGTGCACTTACGAACTAGACTTCTCTGAGTAGTAAGGTGGATTTAAACTCATGCTGCCCTCACAACCGACTGACATGATAGTTACTTCTTTACGAAGCGGACATAGAAGCATTGAAGAGTTGGGGTAAGTTTGTGTGGGCACATTGGAACATTGGAATGTAGAGAGCAGAAGGAAAAATCCTTTGTCAGCTCCATCGCCTCCCGTTCGTCACAGGGATCAAGGTGAACCTTGCAAGTCGGTTCCAATGGAACCGTTGCATTGACACAAGAAGCAACAAGATCCGAGTTTACTCAACAGGTAAGAATCCAATTGCTGTTTGAAACATTCCTCCGACTGCGCATCAACGACACACACAGGTAGATTATTCCATTCGTTCACTACTCTGGTAGACAGAGTGACATCACAACGGACCCGAAGTCTCCTTTGTTTAAACAATTTCCAATGGTGACCCCGAGTCGAACTGAAAGAATTGAGTGGAAAGAAATTCTGCAATTCAACTCCAAGTTCCCCTCTAACGATACGCCGTGTGAAAATCAAATCCCCGCGATCTCGACGGTAGGCTAGGGAGAACAAGTTCAGGCACTGGAGACGATGCGAGTAAGGCAGGTTTCTTAATTCTAGAACGGATTTAGATCCTCTCCGCTGAACTTTTTCAATCAAGTTGCATTCAAATTTGGAAAGAGGATAAACAGCGGGCAGTCCATACTCAAGAATCGGACGTACATGAGAAGTAAAAAGGAGCCTGAAGATCTCCGGAGTCAAGCGAGAGAAGGATCGTCGTATGGCGTAAAACAACCTGTTGGCAGAAGTGACTTTCCTCAAGGTATCTTGGGACGATTTTAGGTCTGGGGTCACAATGACGCCGAGGTCCCTTTCACGATTAGAGTTCGGCAGCAAAAACCCACCGATATGATAAATTCCAAATGCTTCGGAGGCACCGATCGGAAGAACGGAACATTTATTGTGATTTATGGGTAATTGACACCTGATCGACCAATCATGCAGCGAATCGAGCCTTGTTTGTGGTAAATCCGCTTCATCTAGACAGGAGACTTCCATCCATATTTTTAAATCATCTGCGTAAATCAAACAATCTGCCAGTAGTACAGATGCCAGATCATTAATAAAGACTTTAAAAAGTTCAGGGTCAAGAACAGAGCCTTGCGGGACACCGCTGGTCATATTTACAGGGAAGGAAAAGGCCTCATTTACTTGCACATGGAAAGCGCGGTCATGCAGGAAATCAGTGGGCCAAGAGAGGATTTTTCCTGAAACACCAATACTGCGAAGTTTGCTAAGCAAAATTTCGTGTGGAACCTTGTCAAAAGCTTTACTAAAATCCACAAATACGACATCTAGCCGCTTACCAGCATCCATGGATTTAACCCAGTTTTCTCGAGCTACCAGAAGATTGGTGACACATGAACGCGAAGGACAAAGCCCATGCTGCGCAACTGAAATGATCTTGAGGTTCTGGAAGTGCAGGTTGAGAGCTCGCTTAAGAATCCTCTCCATAACCTTACAGATGACAGATGTTAGACAAATGGGCCGATAATTTGTAGGATCTTGCCGATTACCTCCTTTGTATATGGGGTTGACTATGCCCGCTTTCAAGGCAAGCGGAAGACGCCCGGCCTCAAGTGAGCACCGAAATACGTGGCAGATAGGAACAGCGATATGTTCGGCCACAATCTTGTGGAAAAGAGGATGCAGTCCATCAGGTCCCGGGGAAGAGTTGGGATCCAACTCGCACAAAAGTTTGTATACCACAGTAACATTTATGTCCATATCGCTGAGAGTGGAGAACAAGGATAAATAACAATAAACTGACGGTACCCCCGTTGTATAGACCGATGAATAATGGCGAGCTAAAAGATTAGCTTTATCAGCATCGTCGTGGAGCACGGTATTAAGATGGTGGGAATGCAAAGACGGTATTCCACTTCCGGCTCTGGTGCTCCTTTTCAAGTAGGAGAAAAACAGCTTCGGTATAGACTTGGAATGTTCAGCCAGATGACCTTCGTATTGCTGCCGTTTCGTACGTTTTTTCGAGGTACATACGTTCCGGACCCATTTATAATTGCTATAATCGGTTTCCAATCTCGAAAGCCTATAGCGATTCCAAAGTTTGTGTCTTTGGTTCATGAGCGATCGTAGCTCTCGGTCAATCCAGGGGGGACCTCTAATAAATGGTCTTCGTTTGGATATGGGGACAACATCATCAGTAAGGGACAACATTTTCTAGTAAACAAGGCTCCAAGCATTATCGACGTCCAAGTGCTGAGGTAGACTCCAATCCTGCTCGCTAGCGGCCTTCTTCAAGCGGTTTGGATCAGCGCGCCAGAAATTTCGCCGAGAGACACAGTGGTTGTGAATGCTCAACCGTGTGGTCCATTGAAAGGAAAGTAGGCAGTGGTCACTCCTCCCGATTGGTGGTAAGACATTCAAATCAGAAACATCCGATGGTGCGGGCGAAAGCACAAGATCGAGTATGTGCGGCGCCTGAGCAGGGATAATGCGAGTAGGTGCCGCGACATGTTGAATTAAATTGCTTTCAAGAACAGCTTCCAGAAACGTAGAATCAAAGGAGACTGGTGCAGCATCACAGTGAAGAAGATCCTAATCTAGATAAGGGGCATTAAAGTCCCCCACTAATAAACAATCCTTATTGCCACCATGCTTCTTTAGAGAGGCCAGTAAACGATCGCCAGAACTCAAGGGTGCTCTGTAGAAGACACCGAGAAGGAGAGATCTACATCCATCGTGAATACGACACCAAAGCACTTCGGATCAGTCATCACTTCCCAAGACAACATCAACTACATGGACCTTCAGGTTTTCCTTCCAGTAGAGTATGACGCCGCCCCCCGATCTCAAACCGATGCGATCAGCTCGGGAGAGACTGTAACCAGGAATATGTACTTCGGGATCTGGGATTTCTGGGGACAACCATGTCTCCGTAAACGCCATAAGGTCCGGGAGAAGTACTGACGCAAGATGCACAACTTCATCTAGTTTATTACGCAGACTGCGCACGTTCGCAAAAAGTACGTGCAATCCAGTTGTTGATCTTAATGTCTGGGAAATGGTCCATGGGATGTGAGCTTATAACCAAATATGTTAGTGTATCCTTGGAGAAGCTGAACAAATCGGCACTTATGTTGATTGAATGTTTTCTTTACTCTAAACCTACCAAGTTAAATTGTTATAGTTTTACTAGTAAATATGCGTGAAGTTTACCAGCCTCAGTTCATCTGTCATATCCTAATACCCTACGTCAAGAGCAAAATTCAGAGGAGATAACTCTGTCCAGGTAGCATACGAAAACCTCGAGTAGATCAAGCTTTAGAGACTAATGGCAACTACAATCACTATCACCACTATTTATATTATCTGCGGTCGGTTGAGAAGTCAAACAACCCTCTGAAGCTCGTAACCTGCGTTCAAAACAGATGCATCCGACCACTTAGGCTTTGCCATTTCCAAGTCGTAATGCTTAACATTAAAACATGTGAATCGTTTTTAGCAAATAAAGGTAAGTAACAACTTCCGTAGGTTGACCGAAGCAAATGATGTTGAGGCAAAGTTAGAAGGGACACGAAAAATCGAACTTTCTTGAACTCACTAAGCAAGTTGCATGAATAATGATGCAGATTTTAGTATGTCTAAGTTACGTAAAGTGATTGCGAGTGAAATGTGTTCTTCTCGTTGTTCCTCTACCGTTTGGCATAGACGGATCTGCGTGTTTCACTTTGAATCAAAATCAGCAGAACAACTGAATTATTGACCAAATTTTTTAACACCTTACATTCACGTTAAGTTTCGCACGTACTATGCTGGCTCAACAATTAACGCATCATACCACATAAAGTGAGATGCCCTTCACCTCAGGCAGTTTGGAGGATTGTTACATGCATTCAAATGCTTTCCGCTAAAATCTTATGATTTGTTGTCATGGTTGACTCACCGTCTAGCGTGTTCACGCGTTAATTACTACTATTCATTTCCTACCCCTTTTACAACTCGGGTTTAAAAGAATCAGTGACATTCGGTAGCTATGTCCAACTGCATGATGCATGGTCAAGCTGCGATGTTCTAACTATCTGATTCAAAATATAGTTAGTCCACGTTGCATGTTGACAAACATACTGTCCATGGTTGTGTTCCTCTGTGAAATCATTTTGGACAACTCCAAGGCCAAATGGAATCGAGACACACTAAAAGTAAACAGCCCAAAGGCAACGATGAGCAGTAGGCAGCGACCAATAGGAGGATGACTTGGACACCGAGAGGTAATGAAACGCATTTGCTTCTACGTACGTTTGCGCTGCTGTCTTTTTATAAGGAAAAGATGGGCCGAGAGTATTGGGGTTGTGCATTTCGCCAAACCGGTTACTAGTCAAATAACTTAAAATTTCTTTGGACACAACGGTATGTGGAATAGTCCGATCGTGCTTATGTGTTAATAATGAGTTGTACACCGGTCTGCGGATATCGGCTGGTGCGAAGACACTGAAGTCTTCGGAAAATGGTTGTTAGCCAAGTTTGCTGAGCACGATGCCGCACAGAGTTGTGCAAGTATGGAATGTGATTGATCGGAATGCTCCTAATGGCTCTTTGAGAGGAAGGGACGTTGAATCCGACCAGGCTAATGTGCTCCCAATGCTGCGAATGTCAGCCAACAGTATTGCTTGTCAAGACCATCAAAACTGCAGCTGCCATCGTTCGAGTGAGTGACCACAATGTAAGCTCAATGTTCGTAGATCATGAAACGTTATCATATCCTTACTTTGAGAGCTCGATGTCTTCAGTAAGTAAGCTTGAGGGGAACATGGGATAAAGTTGTACAAGAGACCCTGAAACGTATTCGTTACATGGTTAGCATTTACTGTATCGCTGCATTGTTATTATTATTATTATCATTATTATTATTATTAGTTAAACCATGGTCCTGTTTCTCGAAGGGCACGAATTGGTTCTGCGTATTTAAAAAGATTAATCATGTCAGAAGCATCAATTTCTTTTCGAGCGGACTAAAAGTTTTTCTTCCATTACACAAATGTGTTACTGTCGTAGTTATCCTTCTTATCAACTTGTTAAAAACTGTACTCATGTAATTAAGAGTAAGCAACAAAAACATGCTCGATACACTGAACCTCAAATGACGTAGGAACAAACAACGGACATCAAAAAATGAAGAGTCAAGTAGAAAACATGACGGTTTTTCTGTCATCATAATGTGATTACATCTGAGACATGGCATATGGTCACTTGTATGGTTGCAGTCTCTGGCAACATGCGTTCTACCAGCTCTTGGAGGTGCCACTGTAGATCAATCTTCATACGGAGAATTTAATAGTAGTTAGCTGGGTAGTGATCCCTCTATAGAAAACTGGTCCTACTGGGGTTAGCTCAAAGTTCATATGTTAGCGTGGGTGCTGATACCGGCCGTTCCACCAATTCTCATTGTTCGAAAAGTTTGTCAGATATGTTTATTCACTATCTCCTGTTGCTATATTTTGCCTTCATCTTGCCCACCCCTAATCGATCGTACGGCGGGACATGTCAAGCCGGCTTTTTTTCTCCGCAATGTACTGTTGACTACTGAACATACATGTTGAAGTAGAAACAAAGGAAGATATCTTGGGAAGTACAAAATTCTCCTTAGTTAACCCATCAGGGAAATAATCGTCATCAACTCGCTGAGCGTGATTGCATTCGAAATTAACACTTCAACACGCCGTCACAAGGTTACCAAACTTGTTATCCCCTTAATCTAAAAAGGCTGTGGGACATAGTTCTTTCTGGAGGAGATTTAGATACATTTTATTTTCCGCCCAATTACTTGTCTTATTTGGGTTAGAACTAAATTATCTTCCACCTTCCGTAGCAAGTAACTACTCACGAATGTTAGATTTACAATTTCTTTCGAATTATTGGATAACAATTTCGTTCTGGAAAGCTAAAGGAAGGAGATAAACTGATGGAGAACAGTGGCAAGCATTTCCTGACTGAGACACGTTTAAGTTGATTTGGTGGCCATATGAAAAATGGGAACCAAAAAGATTCCTTATCGACCCTGGGATTGTTCTCGTTTCATGTGACCATGCCATGTTACCTTAGGATTAACCGAATCTAATTTCAATAATGCTGATAAGTAAAAAATTCGGCACGCGCTTTAAACATTTACTTCAGAGTATGAAACTTGAATTAGGCCTGCATGCTTGTGTTATGAAAACTTTACATATAATTATTTTTACTTTGGAGTGGACAACTGATTTATTTAAACGGGACCGTAAACCTCCCCGAGAAAGCTTTATGGCCTGCCGGACTAAAGTAATGCATTCGTTAAGTATTAGCCACAAAGAATAGACGAGCGTCACTGGAGAACACCCGTTGATTCATGTGTCAAACACCTATCCGGATGAGCTACGCAACTTTCAGCCTTCCAATACAGCACACAGTAGGTGGGGGTGAGAAACACACCACACTACATTCCATTTATTCTATGTTGTTGCGTTTTAAGTAGGGACGTTCGGCCTCCGAACCCAATTTTCAACAGCTCGATTGCTCGTGTTCACGGCTACATATGCACCAAGCATAGTAGGTGACCGATGAAATTTGAGCTGTTCCATTGGACTTCATAAAAGGCAAAACACAGTGCTACCCTTAAATCCATAGTGTGAGAATTGTGTAAGCGCGTATATGCCAATGTGGCACATGAAAATATAGCTCGAGGTAGAAGTGAACACAAAAGGATCGAAAGTGCACCAATGACGGTAGTAAAATTTGATTTTGAGAATTGCAACAGGGTGTATGTGGATAGCGGTATCGTCCATCCTAGCAATGATTGATAGACCACGGTTATTCCCACCAGCTGCGATTTATTGTATTTGGTTCCCATACGTTCAGAAAATTGCATTGGCTAGGATGTGTGCAGCAGTAATGTGCATTCATGATGCACAAAAGTATAGCTGATGCACCACTGACATTATTAGTTATCATCTGTTGGTCACAAGTTCATCGAATGTATTACGGGTGCTTTAGGTTCGAGGCAGTTTCTCATTAGGTACCTTCATAGATCACAAAGAAAGTATATAGCGGATGTGTCAAGGAAATCGAAGAAGTTAAGGCGTGAGGACAAAGTGGGTGATATAAAATAGCAGGAATCTGTACAGTCTGATCACTTGTGCGTTCTATCAATTTACATTGTCAGACCAAAAATTAATGCGGTAAAAGTCTTCGTTGTACTACGCAGTAACGTTCCGAGATTCTAGTGGAACAAGTCCACCACGGACTTGGTTTCTAGTGCAATTCACACGGGCTAAAAATAGAACCATGTGCTGTGGCTTTGAATCATCAGCTCTGGGGAACTCGACTGGCCAGCGCTCTTGGTACTGGAGCCAATCTGCTCCAAGTTGGAACGCTTGTGATACCGCTGAATTAACTGACACTGCCCTCATAGGAGCCAACTCCCCGGGGATCAGCTGTTGGGTATTCCGGTAATGTCGATCAATCCGCTTGTAAGTGAGTGTCCTTCATCCATGAGTGAACGGTAGTTTCATACGATAGACTAGGTGATATAATTCGTAGCATAATTTAAGTCGGATTTTCAGTTATTGTGCTGGTGATATGAATGAATTTAACCACAGAACATGCATCGGCCCACTTATGGATGCTTGTGAAACGTCGCATTTTTTCTTCCACGGGTTTCCCATCTTCCTAGTTTATCAACCATTCTCTTGTCAAAGGATTGGCAGAAGATTCACATTTTGAGAACGAAATATTCAACACTGTTCCGTTTACCCTTCCAGGAGAACCATTTCGGTACAGGCCCCTTAAGTTTAGCGAAAACCCACACACATAAGACCGGATTACAGGTAGTTCGTTATAATTATCCCGCTTACACTTACTTGCTGTTTAAAGCAACTGCGTTCTATGACATCAGTTGAAAGCTTGGTAGTATACATAAGTAATTTGGTTTTTTATATCCGAGACTGTCTAACATATCCATGCCGTAGATTCATGCCCTGTCACAACGCTATACTAACTCTCCAATATATGGACCAGCAGAATGTGAACACTGCTTCACATTGATATATTCACTCGATTGACTACGATTAAATACCATATGCTACGGAACTTCAAGTGGGAGTAATCCTTAGATGTTCCCAACAAATTATAGGCTTCCAGTGCCGGTTTCGCTTAACCCAGAGGTGTCACAAGGGGGGGGGGGTGCGCTCCTGACGGCTTGTGACAGGGCGCGGCATTTTTAGTGTCATCGATTGTTCGATACCAAATATAAAAGCAAAAGGTCCGGAGAAGCTGCAACTTGAAGTTTTTTATCTAACAGAGGAGTAGTAGAGGTATAGGTATAGGTAGAAATTCATCACATCTAGACTCACTCAGACAGTCGTCACACGCCCGGAAAACCATTGCAAGCGCGTTACACTCTTTCGGGATCCTCAGTAGGGCACTTTCCATCGGACCCTGATATGGCTCGAACCCGCGACTCAACTGTTGCCAGTCCGTGGTTGGGGCCACTGAGCTACGAGGGACAGAAACGACGATGGTGAATAAGTTACTACCGCATGTCCCAGTACTCTGGTCACTCTACTCTGTTAGTGCGTGACAAAGGGTCATTCCTTCGGGTGTGAGGTAGAGCGCGTTAAGTTGCCAACTGTCCAATAGTAGAAGTTGGTCTATCTCAAAATTTCACGCACGCATATGAGTGTAGAACGACCGTATGCATGCATGTGGGTACAGGTGTACTTACACATGTACCCAGTGCCTTCCCTCGTGAAAACGCTGGAACACGCGCGGGTGGTTGAGTTGGAGTTAACCCACGGTACGTTACAAGGCAAGTTCACCTATTGATACATACCCTGTGGACGGCTGGCTGCAATGGAGAAAGATGTTGTCAAAATGGAAAAAGCAGTGCGTCACAACCTGACTACTGTGGTAGAATTGTGATGGCGCTTCAACAGGCGTAACTGGCCTGAGCAAGGAGTGTGCCATAGGTGCTTAGTGTTATCCCAGCTAGTAACAAAAGGGTTATTTGTAACGTTCTTGTAGACTGAAAGTTACCTTCCAACAACCTCCATTAGCAAAATAGACACTCATTACAATTAGGTCGTGCAAATATGAAATGTGACGTTTTGAGAAAGGAGTTTTGAAAAGCCGTGCCGCCTAAAGACAACTCGCTGACGCATAGCCTATGCTCCCATCACAATATTGAGGGCCGTTGCAGTAAACAAGTTTGGTTACTCTGCCTAATTTGCCTCAGGGTAGGACCATGTGGGTTCCTTCTAACATTTTCACTCAGGAGGCAATATTCTATTAGCAACGAACTGAGAAACTGCATTTCTAGGCAATATCTAATCCACGGGGATACTGAGAATCACGTAGTGCACAAAGCGCGATGCTCAGTGACATGAAAAAATGACGGATAAATCGTGGGACCATAGCACATGCATGTGGGTTCTGACGCATACTGTACACCACAAGCCCGTTATCATTGTGATAACTTTTCTAACACATTATGCTGCAAACGCACCTTTGCCTCAAATATGGTTATCGGGCAGGCCAATCCTTTGGACCTCCGTGACCGATCCACCGATGACCGAACACCTTAAGATAATGCCGCACCGTCTGTGCATAATGAGCAGGTGTGCCGTATGGAAGCAATAAAGGCTGAAGCGAAGTGTCGAGGTCGCTCACTAGAATCGG